CGCACCGACGGTAGCTGATTGAGTGCACTGATCAAGTATGCTCCACAAGACTTGCCTAATGTATGATTGCCGACTTGAAAATGGAAAAGAGCTTGACGAGCGGCCGAATGGCCGGTGGCATTTGCTCGGAAGCTTAGTGGTGGCAAAGATAGATTGTCTTCCCGATGAGAGCGTCTATATTCCTGTCGCTGCTGTGTCTCAGATTGGTCTTGCGTCAATTGAGTCTGTAACACCAATCGACCGAATTGAAAAGTGGGCACGGTCTGTGTGGGTTCCATCGACGCGGTAGCTCGGACATACTGGGAATTTGACAAGTTGTCTTCGCTAGTTCCGCTATAAAAAGTGCTCGGTCCAGTACTTGCGGGCTCGAGAGATTTAGCAACATCGTTACTCCAGAGATTTTTGCCAGACATTCTTGTGCTGTCAGGTAGAGAATGCACAATGCAATAATTATAGCTACTTATTTTCTAAGTTCGGTATGTACTAATGATGCTCATATGCCTGCTTATAGCATTGTGATCCTAAAAAGATTCGCCAATTCACTAAGTAAATAAAATTGTTCATCTCATCAGAGCACATCATCTTCTCAAATATCAAGCGCACAGTAGGCATCAAAATTTGTTGATATTCCGATGCTGAAGCAACCAAGGGCAAAATATGAATGTTTTGGTCTAAAGATGGTCACATCAAAGTCTTAAAAACTTTCCAATGTGGTATATGCTTTACTATTTATATAAAAGTCACGAAAAGTCACGTGTTCACAGCTAAGATGCACCCTAAATTCTCAATGAGTCTGTGGTATGTTGTCTTGGTAGATCGATCATCGGCAGTTGGCAGCCGTTGAGCTCAACGGTCGGTTCAAAAGAGAAGTTCCAACCCCCCCTCCTCCCTGGACAAGGCGGCTATGCGAAATTCTTTCTATCGCACGGGTGTTTATTCCGCGATTAGTTATCTCAATTTTAGTTTATACAATATTTTTAGGAGGCTTTCTGAATCTCAACGCTTAAAAAGCCAAAGATACGCATTTATCAAAGGACCCTCTTAGTCCTGCACACTGTGACGTCGCGAGAAAATAGCTTTAATAGCATGGCTCTGTGACTCGTATTGTCCCTCAAGTTCACATCACCATCTAATATCGTGCAAAAAATGCTGCTTATTAGGTCCAGGAAAAAATCGCATGACATCTCAAGGGCCCCCTTCCCCTTCAGGGAAGTCGGAGGTAGTCCCACCCGCTCTGACCGTCTCACCATCCAAGATTAGCACACCAGCCAGTGTGGGAGGTGGTACCGTCTTTAGCCGCTTTATCGGTAAAATGGAACTCAAGAGTCCGGCATTTGAATTTGCGCGTGTTGGTCCTAAGCAGCATTCAGGGGGGCGGAGGAACATTGTCAGCATGGCAGGTCAGCATCTTATCGAGGTAGAGGGTACGGCTGCCTCGCCGCCTCTTCTTAAGGCATGGGGCATCCATCAATCTGGATCCATTATCAGAAACAAAAATAGAGGGAAGAAGGGACATGAAAAGCTTCTTGGCATGACAGAGTCAGGGGAGAGGGTATATGAGATGGAGGACGAAATTGGTCTGAGTGCGAAAGTGCAGTGGACTGTCGACAAGCCAAAGTCTTATTGTATTTCGCCAAGTAGAACGCCGGAAAGTGATCAAGTCCCATTTAAATCGGGCAAGTTGCAACAACCCTCGAATGATGAGCGTAAGAAACATCTCCTTGATTTATCTGCGATCGATGAATGCAGGGATGCGTGGTCAACGAGAGAGTGTCCAAACCGGTTGACAGCAGAAGAGGAAAGCGAAGCAGGAATTAGTAATGACGATGACGATGAGGAGGAGGAGGAGGAGGAAGAAGAAGCAGCAGCAGCGGGAGAGCAAAAGGCAAAGTTGGAAAAGCACAAGGTAGTGTTCCCTTGGCAAACAGAATCGGAAAACGCCCGAGGATCTCACAAAGAGTCGCAAACCTTCAAGCTGTCTTTTGGGTCGGGCACTGCGGGTTTGATTATGGCTTCTACAAAAGCCGGGAAAGGTGCTTTCCTGGAATCCTTTAAACGCTTGGAGACAAGGCAAGGCCATCTGCCGACGGCTGCCGAGCTCTGTGGGCAGCTTCGAGTGGGGGACGTAATTACCCAAATTAACACGACGGACGTCCGGTTCAGCTCTGTGACGACAGTACAAGAACTTTTGGACAACGGAGAGCGGCCAGTCACTGTGGTTTTCCGGCGTTACCCTCAATCGTACTCGTTCCAGGTACGAATCAATTGTGCTCTCGCGTGTCATGTGCCCCGCGCCGGCTTTCTGAGAGTGTCCCCAGCATAAGTCACGTTTTGGAGGTATTGGCATCCCACCCATCTGGGTTGTCCACATGCCCTCCCCTGCAATTCTTTCCACAGGAGGTTGCACAAGACAGCCGCAAGGTTCCCTTCTATTTCCAATACCTGTTGACGGAGGTAACAGATCCCCGACATGAGCAAGCGAAAGTCATGCTGCTGATAGAATCTGAGCAATACGCATCTCAGTACAAAAACATGACGGCAGTTGATCGCGCTTTGGAGGGTCAGCGCATTTTCGACAAGTTTTTTGACACCCGTACGTTATAAACAAAATCTGAATTTCCTCGTAATTTGCCATACCACCCATCAACCTTCGATCTTAATTGAACCTTGTGATATGGGGCCACCATTCGAACCCTAACATTCTGATCGTTTTTGTTACCCCGCAGGATCTCATTTTGATTTGAGCGCTGACATACCATCCCAGCTCCTGAAAAAGCTTAGGGCACAGTGCTATCCCCCCCCCCCGGCCACTCGTTCAGTACCTGTAAATCCTCTCCTCCGGCCTCCACGCTCTTCTGGTCCCATCACCCTCCCAGATGTTGGTCAGGACGAAGACGAGTGTACGTTGCGGGCCTGTTCGTCCGACATGTTCAACGACGTGCGTCATCACATTCAGGAGGACTTGGATCGCGGGAGTTTCCCCCGCTTTCGGGAGAGCTTGGTTCACTACCGCATGGTTGGATACCTGTCTCAGAGCCCTGAATACGTTCCGCTCCACCCTTTGGAAGTTTTACAAAACGACGATATGCTCCAATTTTTCATGCTTTATCTCATGCAAGCCCGCAAACATGCTAGTCTTCGCTGTTACCTGGACATGGAACGCTTCGTAAAGCCGCGGGTGGCGGCAGTGGAGGATTTGTTGAGACGAGGGCTGGTAGCGAGTGAGAAAGCCAAGCAAGCCGTCAAGACCCTCATGCAGGCAGTCCTGCGAGTGTTTAGTCTCTACCTATGCAATGGTTCCTACATGGAAGTGACGCTTCGGCCCCTGTCGCGGCTGAATCAATGGCTTCGGAGCGTCTTGAACAGTAGGGCAGACATCGCCCGTATCCAACGCAGAGCATGCAAACTCGCTGCGAGCAAAGCGGCGGAGACGGAAATTCTCGGTAGCCAGCTTTTGAAGGAAGCGCACAGGAGAAGACCGGGTGCGTTGTTCACATTGTCAGTCCCGGACGCGCTTGGAATCGGTCATGAAGTCCTGGGGGCACAGAGATCTTTGTTGAGGGAGCTAGCCTCGGACATCTTCCCGCGTTTTCAATCGCACACCTTGTATGAAGCCTTATGTGAGGAAATTTCTCCAGATTGGCGTCTTGCACGCGCTCAGCAGCAGCCGCTGACGTTGAAGCCGGGCAGTATCAAAAGGCTTTTGAGACGGGTCAAACTACCCGGGGAGTTTGCCGTTCATCGCGCGCCTTTGTTTTCCACTCCAAGTGGCCGCAGCGGCGGTGCCTCCAGCCCACTCCAATCTCCACCCCTTACGTCCCCGCCGCATGGACTTCTCTCTCCTCTATCAAGTCCTTTAGTAAACGAGCAATGGCAGCAGCAGCAAGCACCGGCGGCGAGGCCAGAGGTGGAAAGCCCCGCTGACTGGTTGATGGTTTTCGACACCGAGTTCAGCCCGAACATGGCAATTAAAGTACGAACCACAAAACAGATCCCCGTCTCCACCTATGCCAAGTCGCTTGCGCACAAAAGCTCTGCCTCTGGCAATATTTCCGCCTTACGTCCTGGTGCCCTTCTGCCTTGCCCGCCGGCCTTGAAACCTTTTTAGTCCCAGAGGAATTCCCCACCAAGCTCGGCACTGTGCCCCCCGACCCGGTCCTTTTCAATTTCCTGGTCCCTGGCAAGAACGAGAAAGCCTTCTACGGCGCGTGTTTGATCATGTATCGGCCTGCAAACGAGGCCCTTCCAGTGGACGAGGATGACTTGGACCTGAGCTTGTCGCCCGTGAAGCAGAACATCTCCAGTCCCTTGATCAATGTGGATTTGACCATCAGCCAATCTCTGGGAGGCAAGGAAAAAGAGGCTCAAGTACCATCTACGGCACCACAGGCTTCAGGAATGACTTGTCCGAATGGTGTACCGACTCACGAAAGCGATGCCCCTTTGCCCTTCCCTTCTCACGTGACCACGTCGGAGGATTCTTCCATTTCGTCCTCCGAACAGAGTACCACCCTCTCCTCCCTTGACCCTGTACAAAATAGCGACCCAGAAAATTCTCGAAGAGGATCGCAGGCAGACCCTCCCAGAGCCAGGCGGGGCACGTTTGTCGCCTACCGCATCGAGCGTGGGGACGAAGCACAGGAGCAAGTCAAAGCCATGGCAGACAGCATCTTTTCGAGCCCACGACACGATGAGGACGGTGTAGAGCCGATAGATGGGCGGGAGGGTGATCGGGACGACGATGTCTCTGATGTATCTGCTCATGTGGTCGTACCTAAGGGGCCCGTGAAGGAGCAGGCGGAAGGCGAAGTTGCGCGAGAGGCCTTTTGTCGCCCGGATGCCCCAGAAAAGTCATCCCCGTCTTCCCAATCGATTTCGCACTTGCCAGCGCCAGAGTGCATGGGCCATAGATTGCTGTCTATGGATGTACACATACCAGAGGAACGGACCGCAGAAGCACAATCACTGTGGGGGCCGGGAGAGGGGTCCAGTTCAGAACCCGAGCCTCAAATGAAGCATAACGAGGACGGTATTCAAGCACAGACGCTTCAAGAGGCCGATGTTGACGACGATGATGATAGTTTGATTGCCCTTGTCGAAGCGGACTTTCAGGACGCCCTATTACAAAGCTATGAAACGTTTGCCAGAGCGTCTTCCGTGGATCAAGAATCCCTCCCAACCATCGTAGACTCCCCACAACAATGGAACAAATTGGACCCGGCAGCTCTTGGTGGGCAATCGCCCTCCTATCATCAAACCTATATGTCCTCCCTCGCTACCAACTCGACTCGGCGTGCGTCTGCAATGGACGAAATTGGATCACATGTTCAGGGGGGACAGCGCCTGCGCCGGGGTAGTACAAACGCATCTATTGGGACGCGGGACGGTCTTATGGCTGCCACAGCCAAGGCTTTACCGGTCACCTTGACATACGCCCCTTACGGATTTTGCCTCATGTCTCGCTTCTCTTTCATCAACTCGCTCCGCACCCCCCTGACCGCTTTGTTTGACCCCAAACAAACCCGGAATCGGTCCGCCCTGCGTGTCATCCAAACCCTCCTTGCCGATCATCCCCCTGTTCGGATTCCCCTCGATGCGGCCGACCGGGATGAATCCTTGTTCTTGCCCTTCTCTACCCCTCTCCCATCTTCACCGCACGAGCTGGCATCTGGCCTCTCTCCATCGGGACTTCTATCACCCGCTTTAACCCAGCCAGGCTCTGCTTCGGCGTCTACCAACGGTCATGGTCCAACCTCAGCGACAGCTCATCAGCATCAGTTGCCCACTCAAATCGACTTTGAAATTGACCTTCTTTTCCAATGCCTAAGCTCTCGCAACCTCATCCTCGTCTTCCTCGCCCTTCTTTTGGAGTGCAAGGTCTTGCTCATATCTGAGCGGCTAACTCTCTTAACGGTCGCTGGGGAGGGTCTTCGGCTTCTCCTCCATCCTCTAAAATGGTGCCATGTCTACGTGCCGTTGGTACCGGAAGTCATGATTGATCACGTCATTGGCTGCCCTACCCCCTTCCTTATGGGGCTGCACCGCAAAACCTTTTTGCTGCGGCGGAATGATTTCCCCATGGAGATCATGCGAGTCGACCTGGACAACGACTACGTCGAAGTGCCCGCCAAGGATCTGAACAGAAAAAATGTCCCATTTGCCGGTCCCTTGGCACGAAAATTCGAGCGTATGGCCTCTCCTGCCATGGCTTACAGTGACTCGTACAGATGGCCAGCGACAACCCAATTACATGCGAAGACGACTACAGGAATGTTGACCACCACCAACTTCAGCACCACGGGTATGGTTAGCCCACCAGCCTCCGCGGGCAACGAGAATATGTCCGCATTGCCATCACACTCTCCACAGAAACGGGACGTGCGGGCAGCCCTGCATGTGCTACGGGAGTTTGTTCAAGGGCTTTTGATGGGCATTGAAGATTCCTGCTACCGCCTGTGCACGGAGACCGAATTGACAATCTTGTTTGACGAGACCTTGTTTGGGCATATAAATGGACCTGCAGAGCTGCTCTTGATCACACCAAATGACCCGGAGACGGATGCCTTGCCTCACTCCCCACATTTGCCTGTAGCACCTGCACAGACGGGGGCTGCGACAGAGAGTTTCATTTTACGCTTTTCCAGGACTCAAGCTTTTTCAAACGTTTTAATGAAGAGCTTACAACGGACCGTTTGAACGGTCAATGCTTGACAAATGGATTGTAAGTAAAGTAGGCAACATCACCAAATTCGTCCAGAAAAGGAGCCACGCATGTAACTACACGTCATAGCCGGCTAACATGTCAAGAAAATGGGCGCCTGTCCCCAAAAATTCTCAAACGTAACTTGTATAAAGACATCATTTTGCAGGCCAAAAGGCTGGCTCGTTAATTTTTGCACTCCTTCTTTACTTCATCGATCAGGCATACTTTCTACCACTGTTGCTATAAATGTGAACTTTAAAAAACGAGTCGCTCGTGCAAGGCCTCTCCTGTCGTGGAGGTGGGCACGCACTCTCTCCCTGCCACATGAAAATGCGAACATACTTTGCTATTAGTCATTTGATGAAATGCTGTATGGATGATCCGCTGTGCTTGCTTCGGCTACCTAGCACCTTCGTTACAACGCTCTCCTTCCTGTGCGGACAGCTACATGTCTAAATACGAGAAGGCAAAAAAAAAGATAGGGCATGGCCCCGTGGTCTCTACGCTAAGCTGTCTTTTTAAAAAGTCTCGAGCGCAAGAGTTGAGAATTGCCAAATAGTCTGGGGAAGGCCGCCGGCGTTCCCTTAACATAGTAGCGCGTATCCTCGTCCAAGTCTAGAGGTGCAGTCCATTCGACCGCATTGACATCGGCATCATTGAAGTTTGGAATTGAGGCGACTTCCATAGGTTCCCCGTCGGCGCTCATGAGATTGAGCTGCACTGTCGTTCCCCTTGGAAAATTTTGTGCGTAGATTTTGTAAGTCTTGCCTGGTTCAATGCTTTCTGTAGCTACGATTGAGTCTCCGTCAGCCACCACTACATCAGGCCCCAGATTGCCTCGTCTGGAGGGGAAAAAAGCTGGCATGTTGTTGATTGACGGGTACTTAATCGAGTTCTTCTTAACGAGCGCCACCTTGCAGGGCTGAATGTCCTCCTTTGGATCCCAATTGTCGATGATGGTGATACTCATGTCTCCCGGTGATTCAACGACGGCGTCGAACATTTTTTGCAGGTTCGTATTCATGTCGCTCTCTCTTGTCGTAAACTGCAGGTCGTATTTTGACCAGCCTTGGCAATCCGGGTTCCACGCAGGTTGTACGGCCTCTGCAAGCCTTTGGTAGGCTTGATCTTCTTTAGGCAAGAAGTCCGCAACGGCTGCGTGCACGACCGACGTTGCCACCACTGCCAGCTCGTAAGGGTCATCCAAATCTTCGTCAACGAAGGTCTTCATGATGTCTTGGACGTATATGTCCGATAAACAACCAGAGGTAATTTTGCTGTCCACCACTGATTTGTCTTGGGAATAGCAGTAGACCGTCATTTCGTACCATAAAAAGAAGGTGTCTGGCAGATCCTGTTTCTTAGAGTCAGGGTTGCTGACTTTTTCCATCAAATCCATCTGGGGGAAGGTCAAGTCCCGGCGGGAACGGTCCTGTGCTTTCTCCCAGGAGTTCATGGCGTCCGTCCCTTTGCAGCCGGCAGCGATTTCGCAGACGCCATTGCCATCCGCATGCTCCTCTGTGGTACCCGGACCTACGTCGCACATAAAACAGCGTGTGTCTTCAGAGACCGCGACCATGCCTGGCGTGACATCCTTCGCGTCGGGGTCCTCCATCGAGGAAACCATCGCGTACGGGTCTTTGCTGCCTTTGAGATCCGGTGAGAAGAAGGACGAAGGGATGGGCCCGGTGCCTGAGGCCTCAGACATGCTGCTGTCCACCAATATTATGCTACTCTCTCCCAGCTTGTTCCTGGCGAGAGATCCCAGCGTTGACACGGCATCTGTCAACCAATTACTTGCCTCCATTAAAGAGCGCTGATAGCGATTTTGTCTTTGCCGCATGGGCCTTCGTGCCGAAAAAGACCTCTCTCCCTCTCCGGGGAGGGCACGCTTGGTCTTGTTGAAGACACGGGCTTCGATCTTCTTCTTCCAAATGCCGGTCGCTTTGTCGTACTGAATATTCGTATAGGCATTCTTGGTGATGATGTATGCCGTGTCATTCTTCAACTGCTTTGGTTTGATACCGAAGCCGCCCACCGTATATTTGTATGGCCATGTCGTCCAGTACTTGAGCCGTTTGGAATAGGTGTATGACCTAATAAAAATGGCGCCACCCGCTCCTACGTACATCTCTGTCCCCAACCCGCTAAAGCTGTAAACGACCGCAAAAGACGCCCGGACATTCTGAATGGAAGTGAGCCAGCCCGCCCCGATGAACGTGTCCGTGCCGATCCCTGACATGTAGTAGGCTATGTAGGAGGAGTACTGGGGCAAGTAGATGAAGGTCGTAGAGCCTGCCCCGTTGTAGTAGATACCGCCCAATCCATAGATATTATTTGTGCCGTAAAAGCGAGCTTGCGGCACCCCAATCCAGGTCAGAGATCCTGCACCCACCATGGTATTCCCTCCCACGCCGGCCCAGATCGCATTGTTGATAAAGGAACCGTAGGCTCCCCCTATGAACTGCATGTTGCCAGCTCCAACCACGAACGTTTGACCCGCGCCAAAACCGGCAAAAACAATGTACGATCGTGCGTAGGTGAGCCCAGTGTGGTAGGCAGTCCCCGCTCCTACTGTGAGTTGGCCCCCGCATACACGCAGTAAGGCGGCGATGGCCGCTCCGTACGAGAACCCAATCGTGACCATGACGCCACCCATGACGGCCAAGTCAATGCCGATCCCAAAGTGCAACTGCGGCCCCGAGGTGTGCACGGAAGCCCCCCCGATCATTGTCATAGTGCCCCCCAGTACACAGACGTGCTTCCCCGACATCCAGGGGTAAGAGGCAAAGAGGTAATGACCGATGTTGTACACGCCCGTGAAGACCGCGTTCCCGGCAATGACCAACACCTCACGACCGAGCGAGAAGGTGGTCAGGTACCCGGTGCCGTATGGACGGACACGCAGCAGGAAGCAGCCTTGCAAGAACAAATTACCGCCGATCACGGTCAGGTATTGCCCCAAGTTGAAGTTCAGATACCGGCTTTGGAGCCTCAATGTGTTCTCCACCTCCATGATGAAGGACCGCATCGTGTTGTTTCGTTCCCGGAAAAGAACACCCGTGGCGGTGAAGTCCCCTCCCGCTTGCACTCGGACGTGCGTGCCCATGTTGAGGCGCTGCGATCGGTCGGCAGCAATGTATTTCCCGCCCCCACGGACCATAATCAGGAAACGCGCGTCCAGTTTCCCGCCCGGCAAGACTGGGGAAGAAGAAAACGTGACCATGGAATGGGCAAAGGGAGGCATGAGCGATGCACGTGAGGGGAACTTAAGCGCAAATGTCAGTCATATGCATGTAGCATTTGGTGGGTAGTAGACAGACCACGATCACGGGACAGTGGAAAAGAGAAGGAAACTTACTCTCAAAACAGCGCTCGATCTTCTTAGAGCAATTTACCATGGGCATGCTCAAAGGGTTGCCAACGATGACCTTACGTTCGAGGGAGGTGCAGAGAGAGAAAGGGGAATACGAATAAGAGGCATGTACGCCAAGAGGTGGTCAAAACCGAAACATGTAGCGTCTGGGATCATTCGACATCGCACAGCCATTCGCATACCTTGGGCATGGAGACATTGATCTGTCTCTGGATTTTGTACCCGTAGGTGAAGGGCTTGGTCAGGACGATGACCCGACATGGGGACTCAGTCCCATTGATCATCTTCACCACTTCGTATCCATTCTTGGGATAGCACACCGCCGCCGTCCCTTGGTTCGCTTGCAACCATGCCCGGTCCTCGTCGTCTTTCTTGTCGTCCTTATCCTTGGCCGGTGTCGGGTAGGAAGAGGAGGAACCGCTCCCATCCCCTGAGCTGCCCCCGTTCCCCGATGCGGCTTGCTCCGCCTCGTCTACTGCGGACCAGGAAGGAATTTCGACCGCATCGGAGGGCAGAGGTAGCGTGGGCTTGGTTGACCCTGCCAGCTTGGAGTTATTGACGGGCAAGGTGTTGGCGTTCACCAGGTTTTCCGTCACGTCGGTGAAGGCTTTCCCACTCTTTTTCGAGTTCCCGCCTCCAAAATACATGCCCGCCCCTACAGCCCCACCCAAGATCACGAGGGCGCCCAGTCCACCCATGAGCCATTTTGTTCGCTTTGCCAGTTCCGCTGACGCAGAAACACCCGGCGTGGCGCTTTCCTCCTCCACTGCAGTGATCATGTTTGACTGCGAACGTGAACGCTTTCCTCTGCCTCGAGAGGTTGCAACCAGCCGAAACCCTGATGCTGGCCACCCGCCAGCCCACCCACGTTCTTGATGGACTGTGAATATGTCAATGAAAGGTACCGATCATGTTGGGTTGAATTAGCTATCTTTACTAAGTGAAAGCGAGTATCAAGCCGCTGTTCCCCGCCAGTTCATATTCAAATGGGATAAAATGGCTATCAAATCACTGGGCACTGTCTCCTCCACATCCACGGCACAATTCCCATCCTCAGTCACATTCTATCCTATAAGGCCTCAAGACCCTGGGAAGATGCGAAGACGCAAGTCTCTGCTTCAGGACAGGGGTGTAACCAGAAGCGGGCACCCACAGGGGACAAGACCAGTCGCTAATTTCAATTTACAGCCGGCTTGCACTTTTTCTGGCGACACCAGACGCAAAACCTTTGGAAGGGCCTGCTGTCCATCTAGAAACCCATCAAACCAGTCCATGTGAGCACGAAGGCAGGTTGAATGGTTGGTGGACGACGCCGATGGAAGAGAAAGGGCCCCCGGGTGTGAAATGCGACATCGGACGAGGCTCGAGACTTCGTTTTCCTCGGCCACCGGGATGGCACCAAAGCACTACGGTCATAAAAAGCGCGCCTCTGTCCGCTTAATCGCTCCCGGGTCGCCAATTCCTGTCCCACGACCTTGGGAAAAGCCATGAAAGATGGGGCCCATGGGACACGGTCGTAAAACGCGTGGGGTTGTACCGTGTTATTTGTATTAATAGGCTTAATCCTCGTAAATTCGTTGAGGGGAGGAGAGAGGGTCCCCCTGCTCCAAAAAACTCGTTTGCTCTGCTTCAAATACGCCAAGGCAGGATGGCTTGCCTGCCCACCCTACCCTCCTGAACACG